TTTAATAATTAAACAATTTATTTTTGGTTTAATATTATAAATTTTATAAAGATAATAATTAAGTATTCTGTTAGAATTTAATGATTATACTAATTATATTTTAAATTTTTTATATTTAAAATGAGATGTTTATTTTGTATTTGATTGTGTTTATCTGCAGTTAGTTACACGAATTCATATATGGGATGAAATCAGATAGGGATGAAATCGTTTAGGATGAACGGGTTTATGAGTTTTTAATAGTTTTAAGAGTTTTTAAGAGTTTTAGCCAAATGCTTTATAAGATAGTATATATATTATATTATTAGGGATTTATTTTAACTATACTATAAAATATTTGTGATTGACTAATTTTTCAAGATATATATTTTTTGGTCATTTTACATTTTTCATCTAGTTTTTGTCAAACATGATTTGTTGATCAGTTAGCTTATCAGCTAGTTTTACCAAACATAGCTAAACCTTGCAGACTAGTTCATAGAAGTTTTACACTACAGGGTGAAAGCAATATATGCCAACATAGAAGGGGAAAATCAGAAAGGTTCATGATATAAATCGGTTCTTTATTAAAAGTAAAAGACTTGTAATTAAGACGATACGAGATAATCATAACCAACGATGTCCTTATTTATCTTAATCTACAAAAAAAAAAATACGAATACCAAAACATATTTTTGATAAAAGGTCATTGAAAGTAGAAACTCAAATTTTGCATTTAATCAACTCTAATAATTAAATAACTTGAACAAAACTAAACCGACGTTTGATTCATAGGATTACAATGAAATTTGAAGGATTGAAATGATTATTCATTGACCAAATTTCATTCAAACATCTTGTTTATATGTAGAATGAATCCATCATTTATGAATATGGTCATTTCATCAGAAAGAAGAAGGAACCGAGTTCCGCTCATCCCATTTTCTTAACCTTTTGTAATTGTTTTTTGTTGTTTCTTATATTTATAAAAACGATAAAACTTTAGGGACCAACTACATAAATAACTCATATATATAAACACGTTCTCATCGTCACTGTTGGAAAAACTCACCAGAACCTCAAGCACCAAATACTCGTTGTGTATTTGGGACCATTGTCTTTTTATGGTGAAGCTCCCATCACCATCACCATCACCATCACCAAAACATTTGCTCAACATTCAAAACTATTTATTCTCCTTTGATTGTTCCAGGTTAAGATTACATGCCAATTTTATTAGATTGGAGGCAATTTCTTTTCTTTATAGTTGACTCATTTACTTGGTGCAATGGTAATTGCTAAATGGTAACTGGGTTTTGTGCAATGACGTAAAAATCACTGTGTTAGAAAAACAAACATTATGAGAACAAAAAGTGGTCGAAGAATGGGTGTCAGATACAATAACTGGAGAAAGGGGGTCAGAGATGGTGATTGGTGATGGAGAAGAATCAGATAGGGGGGTCTTTCTGTTTTTGCCTGTCAGATCCTTGTAAGATACTGTCCATGTGGTTTTTTGTATGCCTTTGGTCGACGGTGGTGATTTCGTCCTTGGGATACATATTACACACAAGACCTGCAACCATGGTCGTCGATTATGCAACCTCTTCGCCGCTTGGACCTCCTGGCTTGCGAGAAAGATGGTGAAGCTCTTCAATTCATAGAAGAAATGACGAAACACAGTGACTCCGTTCAAGAAAATGTGTTGTCGGATATTCTGGCTCAGAACGTCAGGACTGAGTACCTGCAACGACGCGACATAGGAAAACTTTTAGGTTGAAAGTTCCGGTGATCACCTATTAAGATCTCCAACCTTATATCCAACGTATGGCTGATCTTTCTCCCATCCTTTCATCCAAACCCTAAACATTAAAATAAAGATTTATCTCGCTGTATTGCACGAGTACCAATATAGTATTATATATAACAACTCCCTAATTTGATGATTTTTATAAAAATAAGAAAAACAAAAAGAAATTGCAGAAAGGGAAGGAAAACATGGTTGGATAATTTTACCACTGACTTTAATGGACCTGTTTAACGACGTTAGTGATCACGTCCCATTTCAAAACAAAATCCAAACATGAGGGACGACATATTGACTTATTGAAGTTCAAGTCCCACTTTTAAAAAAAATACTAAACCTTAGGGATCAAAAGTGAAGTTTACTCTATATTATATAATAAGTTAAAGAGAGGTTCATTTGAGAAGCAGCAATAATTGAGAAGTAAAGAAGAGAAGTAAAGAAGTGATCTTAGCCCTTTCTACGGTCAAGATTGGTCAAACAAAAAATAAAGGGGTAATTTCATAAATTTTACAAATATGAGATAAACAAATGCATATGTGAACCCACATTTCATATGCAAATCAGTTAATTAGTTCATATATGAATCACATGAGTTCATATGTGAATCGATTATTTAGTTTATATGTGAATTACAAGGATTCACATATGAACATATAATATATGTTTATAAGTGAATCACACGGGTTCATATATGCACTTGTTTTACAACCTATTTATGAAAGTTACGAAACTACCCTTCTATCTTCTGCATACCGTACGAAGAACTATCCAGTGTTTCACAGTCAAAGTCGCGAATCATAACTAGATGAAGCGCTAAGATCACTTTTCTAATTATCAAATACTTGTCAATTCTCAAATGAACCCATGACGAATAAATTATTCTACACTCATATAACATAAAAATTATATTCTTTATATAATGTGTATATAGATATTTTTTATAAATATCTCAACTATTTATAAAGAGTTGTAGTTAATGAAATATAATTATTTTTTATAAATATTTACTATTTTTATAAATATCTATTTTTGTATGAATAAAATAGTTAATAATATATATTTATAATATAATATAAACAACATATATTATATATAAAATATTTTATATATAATTAAAAATGCATAAATAGATGAGTATATTGTCAAAAAAGGTGTGAAGAATAAGCGACGGGACCCATGCACACTTGCACAGTCGTCATAGAAATTGGCAAAATCTCGACGGCAGCACTGTAGAACACACCCTATCTCCACCTCCTTCCGATGCCCTGACGATGGAAACCCTAGCTATCTCCCACCGCCTCCTCCCACCGCCTCTCCGCCGCTCATCCGTTCGCCCTTCCCATTCCTTCACCTTTTCATCCCTCGCTCACTCCACCGCTCGTTTCCCCACTCTCAAATGCGTTGCTCAATCTCCAACCGCATCAGGTACTCATTACTCACACTGATTACACCATTAATTTCATCTACTTATTTTCATTATTTAATTGCCTTCACATTTTTACAAATTTTCCTTTTGCTACTTCACTGTTATTTTGCTTAATTCCTTTTAGTTATTTTGCTTAGTTCTTTCGGTTACTCAATTTGATTCGGGAGTGATGGATCGTTGATGTTGTTTTGGCAGTCGACCATTCAGCGAAATTCAAGGAAGCTGCGAAGCACGGGAATTTGATTCCGTTATACAGGTCGATATTTTCAGATCATCTGACTCCGGTTCTGGCTTACAGGTGTCTGGTCAAAGAAGATGATCGTGATGCGCCAAGTTTTTTGTTTGAGTCTGTTGAGCCAGGCTTAAAGGCTTCCAATGTTGTGAGCGCCATCTCTTTTCTTATTTAATGTTGTTTGCCTTTGCCTTTTGATCATGCTTGAGAAATGTGTGCATTCTATTCTGGAGATTGTATTGCTGCTACGATTTTTAGCTGCCATTATGGTAGTGCTATTATCCTTTGTTGAAAAATAATTGCAAGTGGTGTTCCATTTTGAGATTGAAGACGAGGTACTAATTGAACACACTCGTACCTGGTCATATTTCATTAAATACTTTTTTTTCCGTTTATCGTATTAGCAGAACTTGAGTACCTGCATTTACTTTCAGTTCATCTACTTTCTTTCGCGAACTAGAAGCCAGAGTTTGGTATCTTAGCAAAGTTTGCCCAAACAAAGTTTTTTCTCAAATATTTGGTAATGGTGGGCAACCGGGCCAGCACATGCATACTTCGACTAATTCCGTAGAGTCTTGAAGTTAACAGCCTGACAAACCCTCCAGTGGCCTAAGGGGACTTGAATTGATACCTCTGTGGAGCAAACTCAAGTTCTTATCGGTTAAAGTTCCCTCATGGCCATTGGGAGGGTTTGCTTGACTGTTAGGCTTATGGGATTAGTCAAGGTGCCGCGCAAGCTGGCCCGGACACCCATGGTTACCAAGTTTGTTTGTCAATAAGGATATCAGGCCTACTATTTGCATGTATGCTTTTGATTAGTAAAATCATGTCGATATCCCCATATCATATCGATTTTTCTGTTAGTAAAATCATGTCGATATCCCCATATCATATCGATTTTTCTGTTAATGTTATTCCAAGTTTTTTTATTGATGTTGTTCCATATATGTCTAACTGGCGGGTTTACTATGTTAGGGGCGATACAGTGTTATTGGAGCTCAGCCTACAATGGAAATTGTAGCAAAGGAGAATATGGTTACAGTTATGGACCACCATGAAGGGCGGAAGACGGAGGAGTTTGTGGAGGATCCCATGCTTGTTCCTAGGAAGATAATGGAGCAATGGAAGCCCCAACGAGTAGACGAGCTCCCTGATGCATTTTGTGGTAAGATTTTGAGATATCTATTCATTGCACAATTCAACTGAGATCCAGAATATTTATAGTTACATGTTCAATTTTTCCGACTTATCCATACTCCAAACTTACATATTTAAAATATAAGGGAATAAGTATAATCATTGAAACTCACCCTGGTTTCGTTTCTGATAGCCTCTTCTCAAGTAGTAGAGAATAAAGGCTATTTCAATGCAGCTAGTATTATATTGTCAACATTCAATAGCATGAATTTCTTAGATTTTTCATTCCTATATGCCTCATTCGAAGTTCTTGTTAGTGTTGTCCGAGGCTTGTTTTTCTTTATAGAGCATGTCAGTGATACGTACGGACAATAACCTATATCTTCTCACTTTTGCTCTTTAATGGGTTTGCTCCTATTACAATGGTGGTTGTAAATGAATTTATGGTATTTTACGTAGTTTTTCAATTTCCCTAATGAGTAATGACAGGTGGCTGGGTTGGTTATTTTTCGTATGACACTGTGCGGTATGTGGAGAAGAAAAAGCTTCCATTTTCAAATGCACCAGAGGATGACAGGAACCTTCCAGATGTTCATCTTGGCCTTTATGATGATGTGATTGTGTTTGACCATGTTGAGAAGGTTTTATCACCTCTTTACTCTCCACATATTGACCTGGTTTCTCATGGGGCTTCTTCTATAATTTTTCTAGTTTCTTTTGGTTATTTACAACCCACAGAAAGCATATGTGATACATTGGGTGCGATTGGATCAATATTCTTCTGTTGATGAGGCTTTTATAGATGGAATGGACCGTTTGGGGACTTTAGTGTCTAGAGTTCATGATATTGTTCCGTGAGTATTCCAGTTATAATTAGTAAGTTGCACCTACTTGTTGCATTTGTTTCGTTGGTAGTTCTGATATGACTTCCAATCACAGCCCAAGACTTTCTCCAGGGGCAATTAAGTTGTATACTAGCCTATTTGGCCCTTCTTTGAAGAAGTCAAACATGACAAGTGAAGCATACAAGGAAGCAGTGTTGCAGGCTAAAGAACATATTTTGGCTGGGGATATATTTCAAATTGTCCTAAGTCAGCGTTTTGAACGTCGCACTTTTGCAGATCCATTTGAAGTTTACAGGGCCCTCAGAATTGTCAACCCCAGTCCATATATGACTTATTTACAGGTCGTTCGCTCCTTCTACAACCTGTAATTGGTTTATTATTGTGACTTCATGGGGACAAAAGACTTTCTAGGAATAGTTGCGTGATGATATCTTGTGTTTCCATGCACCCAGGCTAGAGGATGTATCCTTGTTGCTTCAAGCCCTGAAATTCTTACTCGTGTGAAGAAGGTAATATGCCAGGATATATTCTACATCCACCCTTAGTTGTTGGTCCCTTAAAAGAAGTTGCATTCAGGTACTTGTTTTGCATTTGTATTCTGTATGATTCATCTTTGCCTGCTCTTGGTGACAGAGAAAAGTCACAAATAGACCCCTTGCTGGGACCATCAGGAGAGGGAAGACACCCAAAGAAGACTTTATGTTGGAAAATCAACTACTTCATGATGAAAAGCAATGTGCAGAGCACATCATGCTGGTTGATCTAGGGAGGAATGATGTTGGGAAGGTGTGTTTGTTTCTCTTCAGTTATATGTTTGTGTATTGCCAAATGCAGATCTGTGCATATTTCATACATAACACTGCATGCTGTTTGTTTCAATATGTATGAATGGCCTTGTTGAAGAGGATATGAATAAAGCTGTTACTCCCAACTCTTTATTTACTTCTTTTTGAAGTATTATATATATATATATATATATATATATATATATATATATATTGCAAATGCAACAATTAAACTCTCACACCCTCCTCACCTTTGGTGAGGTTCGAACCCCTAACCTCATGAAGGCCAAAAGCCCATATACCGCTAGGCCAACAACCCTTTAGTTGTTTATTTACTTATTCAAAGTCAAAGTTTTGAGTTTTATCTAGTTGAAACTCTTTCAGGGTACGTTTGGTATGCGTGACTGGACAGTAAAAAACTTGTCTCACGTTTGACATGATATTACACAGGGACAAGATAGGACCTGAGTGGGACAAAAATGTATTTATTTTGTCCCGCCAAAATAGGTGGAACAAATATCAAGGAGATGAGACAAGATTGCTAAATTACTAACTACCCATGTCAAATTAAGACCCTAAAACCTTCCACAATTCTTTCACCTGCCTACCTCACTCTTGCTTGTCCAGTCCTGTCCAGCCCAAAAATGCACCCTTAAAGAGCAGGGAGGGAGGATTGGAATGTGAATGCATGTCCATTATGTAGATATATCTTCAATAAGTTCACCTTAAAGCTTCGAACATGCTTTGTCCAATAAGATTCTTTGAACCTAGGAGGGGAGTGTCGGCGACATTTAAGTGGGGCCATGTTTAGCCTCCAAAATTGCCGGGGATTAGTCGGGCTTTGGCCCGGACACCCTTACAAAAAAAGATTCTTTGAAGGTGCTTAATGTTCCATTAACCTCTACTCCTCTAGAAGGATCTATGTTGGCTCAATAAGAGAATTATGCTTCTATTAGGTAAGTAGTAATACAGTTTTTGCATTGTGCGTTGCAATTGAGAAGTTCAAGCTCCTCCATGTATAGCTATAGGCAAAGGAAATAAAACTGAATGATTGGGATCGAATAAAGTTTGAATTGATGGTCCAGATCCATCCTACAAAATATCTTCATGAAATTAACAGGCTGCAACATTCATATAGATATTTATACCTCAACCATTTACTTAAACTAAACCATGCCATTCTTGCAGGTTTCAAAACCTGGTTCTGTTAATGTAGAGAAGCTGATGAATGTTGAACGGTATTCTCATGTCATGCACATCAGCTCCACGGTAAATGCTTATTTTTGCACGCATATTGCATTGGTAGGTTTGATCGTGGTTTACATTTAATGATATACGTTTAATCCATGCTCCAACTTAACCGACAATTTAAAAGGCATATATCAATGCTGTATCATGCTTTCACATGAAAACCAGTTGAATACAGTGAAAATGAAAAGCAACAAAGTTATCTAAGTGAACTTATTCTTCCTGTCATGCCATGGGATATGGATCCTGCCATACAAGATACTGGAGGATCATAGAACATCACTGGCATTTCTATATGAACACTTCCCTTTTTTGAAAAAAGTTGTTTCATGTATACAAATTTCTGAAATTCAATATACTTAAAAGTTCGGTTTTTATAATCGTGGGTGTCCGGACCAGCTTGCTCGCACCTTGACTAATCCCATGGGCCCTTGAAGTTAACAAACAAACAGGAGAACCTCCAGTGACCACTTGGGAGAAAATCAAGGTTTTACCAATTGAGCTAATTCCAAAAGGGTTTTATTTCATGTACACAAATTTTTGAATTCATTATGTGCTTAAAGTTAAACATGTTTACTTTTGTGTATGTGTTTATTAGTGTTGGTGAATACTCCTTCCTCCCCTAACTAAGTGTCGATATTTCTATTTTGGTTTGTTCCAAATTAAGTGTCCACTTTCGAAAGCAATTGTCTACTTTCCCATTCTACCCTTAATTATGAGATGCACAAAAATTCTCTCCCTAGTATTAAGGGCAAAATTCTCCTCTAAAAAATTTAATTACACATTCCTAAAACCGTCTTTTAACTCCTTTTTATTGTGGACTTCTATTTTGGGACGGAGGGAGTACAAAAGTGGTCTTTTTGTGTTTTCCATTTCAAGCATCGTATGCGAATGCTATGTTCTATTATTCCTAGAACTCTTTAGCATTGCTATGAAATTAATCCAGGCATCGGTTTTTAATCCATAGGTAACTGGAGAGCTGCTCGATGACTTGAGTACTTGGGACGCTCTTCGTGCTGCATTGCCTGTCGGAACAGTCAGCGGTGCCCCTAAGGTTTCTATATTCTAATCATGCTTCTTATTCAAATACTGCATGCGTTATGGCGTTTAGTGTCAATATACTAATTCACCCAACATATTTCTCCTTTTCACATGTTTTGTGCTTTTCGTGTTGTCTCATTATATTAAGAAGCTAGATGCTAATCAAATTACTTCTTCAGTCCCAAAATAAGGGTGTGTTTGGTACTTTGGTACTCATACAAGACAAGACTGGATGTACAATTGTTCAGCTTTTCATAAAACAGGACAAGATTGTAAAGTAATCAATTTACTCCTAATCGATTGTTTATATATTTTGAGTAATTTATTAATTTATAATAAATAAAAAATTTATAACAAAATATATCATTAGGAAGTTCGTCAAGACGATTAAAATGACATCAAAATATGAAGTTTATTAATATCCAATTTTTATTTTAAACCTTTTCTATATTGTTTTGTAAATATTAATAATTTAATAATAAATTAACCAAAATATAGAAACGTATAGAAATAATATTTGAGGAGAGTAAAGTATAAGTTTAAGGAGGATAAAATACAATAAATAAAATTTAAAGAATGTATAAAATGTAAAACCGAAGACTTATTTGATGTTTTAGAAGAGAATTAAGTTTTATTTTGAGGGTATATTGGTAAAATATAGGTTTATTCTACCTTGTTCCATGAGGTGGGAGTGGAACATGCCTCTTCCACTAGGGGTGAACGCGGGTTGGGTTGGGCGGTTTACAACAATTTTACAACCCAACCCAATTATGACGGTTTGGAAAATCTCAACCCAACCCAACCCATTCAA